GAAAATACAAAAAAAAATGCAATTAATTAAAATTTATTGATCTGATTTTTTTATGAAAAACTTATTTAGAGTGGCTTGTCGCATCATATTTTTCTGTTCTTCATATAATTGGCAGTACTGAGAAATTTCCTCATCAATTTTTCTGCAAATATGATGGCTTCTATCTTCATCAGGGTCTGTTTCTAAACATTTTCCCTTAAATTCTTCAATAACCGTGAAAAGTTCTTCTAATTCCTTCTTTGTCATCTTCTTATGCTGGCGGGTAGGTAAGATTTCTTCACATTCATCAATGTCTTCATATGCTCTCTGAGTGTCCAAATTTATAAGATCCTTATTGGTTAGTTCTTCTGAATGAGCTTCTAGCAATTCTTGCACATTTTCATCGTCAATTTCAGCGAAGCCAAGTTCTTTTCCAATATGATTAATCTCTTTAATGACCTATTCTGTATCTTTTGAAATGCCTGTGACATCCTGTGCACAGTGTGGAAGAACTGTTTTCCAAACACCTTGCATATTTTTAACTGAAATTTCATTCCATGCTTGATGGATATTATCAATAGCATCCTTAATACTGAATTTCTTCCAAAATTGAACTAGTTTCATAGAATTCTCTCCAGATGTTGCTTGAATCGCTTGCTTGAAAGTCGTTCTCAGATAGTATGCTTTAAAGGTCGCGATAACGCCCTGGTCCATTGGTTGCAATAAAGAGGTAGTGTTTGCAGGCAAAAATGTCACTTGGATATTTTTGCACATTGAATCGAGACCAAAAGGATGACCAGGGGCATTAACTAAAATAAGCAAAGCTTTAAAATCTAAATTTCTTCTTCGACAAAAGTCTTCAATCGTTGGACAAAAATACTTGACGAACCATTCTTCAAACAAAGCTTTAGTTACCCATGCTTTTTTATTAGATTTCCATATTATTGGTAATTGTCCTTGATTTATACCTTTAAGAGCTCTTGGATTCTGAGCTCGATAAACCAACATAGGCTTTAACTTCAAATTTCCTTTAGCATTGCCACCCAATAAAAGGGTTAGTCTATCCTTTGCAGCTTTATATCCTGAGTGGGAACTCTCAGATTTGGCCAGAAAAGTTTTGGAAGGCATCCTTTTCCAAAATAACCCTGTCTTGTCGACGTTGAAAATTTATTCATCTGAATACCCTCCTTCTTCCACAATTTTCTTCAGAACTTTAGGATATTCATCAGCAGCTTCCTTATCTGCACTAGCTGCTTTCCCTGTAATTCTTACATTGTGCAGGCTAGTTCTTTTCTTGAACTTCTCAAACCATCCAGCACTAGCATGGAACTCCTTTGTCTCGTCTTTGGAATTTTCTTCTTTTAAGATTGAAAAGAGACTTAATGCTTTTTCTTTTATGAGATCAGTGCTTAAAGGAATTCTTTTCTGGTTACAGTCCTCTATCCAGACAGTTAGCAATCTTTCTAATTCAATCATGATAACATTTTGATTTCAAGTGGTATGCACACATGATAAGTTTGAAGCAGCTTTACCTTTCATTTTGTATTCATCAGCTTCATCTAAAATTGCTCTTACTGTTGACTCACCTAGTTTGTGCTCTAGGCCTATTTTTGATTTTGTGACACCATCTTCACTTTTTCTTATGATTTCAATTTTTTCGTCTAAAGAAATAACTTTTCGAGTTTTCCTTACAACTTCACTTTCATCTTCACTAAGTCTTTTGCTCATGTTTAGGAAAAGGTAGTATGTTAAAATGTCTAAAGTAAAAAAGATTGTCAAAAAAAATTATTTCAAAGATGCACAAATGGCTTGAGTAGTTAGGCTAATAGCAGACAACTAATTACTTAGATGATGTAATAACTAGAGTGTCCACCCTGAGGCAATAATTTTTTACTCCGGGAAAGGGTTCGCAGTGAAAAAAATATTTAACCCAGGTGCAGCCTGGGGTAAAAAATATTTGAAATAAAAGATACTTGATTAAGATTTTTATTGATTTATAAATCGTATTTAAAAAAATATCGAACAAATAACAAGGCTGACAAAGTTTTATCACTTTTTTGTTCAAGCTTGTCGTAGAAGTAAACAGATCTGGAAAATCTTACAGTATATAAAAAAACACATGTTACAGAATTTAAGTCTAATCATACATCACTTTCAAAATACCTCTATAAGACGTCATTTTTATAAAGTTTAAAGCATTATAATAAAAAATTCTTAAGTGAGCTCAAATCTATGTGAATTAGAGAGATTAAAGAAAATTAAAAAAGCGATTAAACTCGTAGCCAACGATTTCTTCAGATCTTTCTTCTCTCAAAATGTTTCTCTTTCATTTTCCAAATTCCTTTCACCAGCCCTAGCAAAGGTTTTACCCTTTTTCACTGACTTATATTTCAAATCTATGGTGCGTTTCCTATAAACAATGACGATCAAGGATGATGATGATTTTGATGAGGACGATGGTTTTTATGAATTATTGTTATGAAAAAGATATTTGTTCAGTAAAATAGTAAAGATTTGCCCCGGGGTATTTCAAGTATTTTACCCCGGGGCAAGGGGTGAAAAAATCGTTAAAATACCCCGGGGTGACGGGGTCCCTGGGGTGGACACTCTAGTAATAACTTGACAAGTAAAATAGTTACCCATTTTCTATTTTTAATTTGTAAAAAAATTTTAATTTCGGTGCCTAAAACTTACTTTTCAAATGCTATGGTTAAAATGAAATGTGTGTAACCGCACTAATCGAGTATTATGCATGCACTAATCAAATATTGGTGGTCATCTCGTCCGGTCAAATCGACCGAGTCTGTGTAGAGAAAATTAAAGAAAGCATTTTCCTTTTCAATAATCACCCAACACTAAATAACAACATCAACTTCTCTCTGTTCTCATAAAGCTAATTGTTTACACATTTCCATTTTTTATTATCTTGTTTTTTTTGTTATAATATGCAATGATTTATAATTATATTTTAGCCTTTTTTTTAAATGTTTTCTTTTAACAATATTATTAAACAGTCTTCCTCACATTTTTATTATACATTCTGTTACTGTTTAAAAATGTGTTCTTTCTAAACTTTTGGTTGTGCAAAAAACTACTTGCTTAATAGCTGATAGTTTTTTTGTAGTTAGAATGTTGTGAATGAAACTCTTGAAGTTTTAATACTGATAACAGAAATATAAACAACTCCAAAATGTCTGTAATTAAAAACATTTTTGGTATTACCATGTTTCTAATAGTTATATTATATATATATATATATTTATTTATATATGTGTGTGTGTGTGTGTGTGTGTGTATATGTATACAAAAGAATGTCAGAACATGAATTATTACACTACAGTACATTCAAATTGCATAGAAATCAAACACATTTGAGTCATAAAAGACAAAATTAATCATATGATGACATGTAATATGTGAAAGTGGTTAATTTTATATAGAAACATTCAAATACACTAAAAATAAAAATTATAAAACTTTGTAATTTGACTTTACATCAAACAGCAGTATCCTTTCCTAGATATTACTGTAACCACACCAGACCACAGCACCAAAAGTGCACAGAAAATTGTTTTTTACAAATATTCATCTTGAATTTGTTTCCAAAAATCATCCTTACTTTACAAAATTGGATATAATAATGGGTATAATAAATATGTCAAAGTAGATAACATCTAAAGATTTATAGGAAAAAAGAATTATAAACTCTTGAATGCATAACTAAAACCATATGAATATTATAAGTCTTTCCTTTAATGAGTAGTATACCAATTGATGTTTCCAGCAGATAAAAACCAAAAAAGGAGTGCCAGTGAAATAAAATAAATTATTCACTCTCTTCCCTATATATTAGGAAGGAAATTGTTAAGTCACTCCTATATGGTTTGACTTATTACGATTGTTATTTTCAAATATCATATACCTTTTTTTACTACAAGAATTGATATCACATATCTATATTATGATACAATTTGTCTCTGATGGCTAAAGCTTCTCTTTCCCAATACAGTTTGAATAATTTCATACCCTCTTGGCTATTATATGTGACTACAAAACAGTGAAATATTCTAAAATTCTGTATTACTAAAAGTATGTATATGTATAACTTTTATTTTTGCTGTTTTAAACCACCAAAAGATGTCATTAATTAAATTTGATAAAAATACTTTGGTGAACTTCTGACCTCTCGTAACATTAAAGAAATTTTTTAAAAGCAATTCTGTGTGTAACATCTCAAGTTCCTTAACTTTATGTTCAAAATCATGCAGTCATTTAAGCCTGACAATGTCTTGTTTAGGTGAAGAAACTTATTTTGTTGTCAAATTCTAAGTATTTTTGACTTTGTGAAAGCACTACCAGTAGATGAAATGGAATTTTGTTGTGTTACTACAAGAAAACAGATTTCTTGAAACACGGCATCCTTTTTTGTTGTGTGTTATGCTAATTAACTAAACAAATAACTTTTGCAGTCACAAGATAGATATCAATTACTTCAAAGCAAATAAATGACAGAATTAAGAATACATACATTTTTATACTTAAATCTTCATTCCAATTAACTATATTAAAAAATTAAACACTATCACTGAAAACTCACATCTGTACAGTGAAGTCTCTGGCAGGATCTGCTGTAGCAGAGTCAAAGATTCTCTCTGCATTCTCAAAATATCTGTTCATATGGAATACAAGAAAATTAAAATTATGGATGCAACAGGACTGTGACAATCAATTTGGGAATAATTTTGGAAAAATAATAATCATTTGAAGAAAACATCCATTTCAAGGAGATGCTGAATGAACTTTCTTAAATAATTCAAGAAACAAATTTTGTTTTTCATAATCTAAAATGTATGAATAATGATTATTTTTAATTGTGAATTATCAAGGGGAAAGAACTGTATAATTGAGAAATGTTTTCAAAGATATGTTATGGTTTATTAGTTACTCAGGGTTACTACTTAAATACTTTTCTGTTTTTAGTATTCAATATATCACTAGTATCTCTAAAAAATAAGGACAAATACTGGATAAAATTACAATCTCTAAATAAATAATAAAAAAGAATTCAAGAGTATAAACTTTGAGAAATTATTCATCTGAAAATATAAAAGATAGCTTGCATCATTAGTTTCTTACAGTTGTTTGTTTGGAAAACAATCTATTTTGAATGTTAACACACATAACTATCTGTCGTTTTTTGGCTACTTTTGTCTCATTAATTAATTGTATGTCAATACTTAAAGACAACACTAACCTTTTACACATACTTCATGTTCAAATAGCACAACTACATTGTGTAATGTGTGAAGAAAAACAAAAACTTTATCCATCAAACAAACTCACATCTTTTGGAAATCTGGGATGGAAAAAACCACCTGCATAACAGAATTCATATAGCAGGAGTTGCCAAGGTTTGATAATCCTGTGTAACCTGGACCATACATTGGAACTAAATGGCTACCAGATTCCTGAAGAATAGCCCATTCTCCTATCCTCTGATTCATGTCAATCTCCAACTCAATCATTGATTTCTCTGTCTAACAAGGAAACAAAATCCCAGTTACAATTATATACACTTGTTTTTCCTAACTTTACCATTTCTTCTGTTTTTATAATTCTTACCAGCATTTTACTATAATGGATGTAGTGTGTATGTCAATATCTATGTATGTAACCAAAACTCTTGTGCTATCTATTGAATGGCACCACAAAGAAAATTCCATAAAAAAGTTTCACATTTTGGGTATTCCCAAATTTAGACTATTAGAAAAATAACTGTGGTATGTGCCACAACCATTTCTTTATAATACAACACAATTTTAAATAATAGTACTCTCCTCACAACGAGAACACAACTGCCAAATTATTACAAACTTGTTGTAAGTTTAAAGTTACATATCAGAACTAAAGAGTAACTCGCAAATTAATTACTAAAATAAATTCCATATAAGAATTTTATGGACGCACCTAGGACTCAATTATACTTTAATAATGCATCTCTGAGAGGGTGGATAAAAAACTATTTTTATGTGATAATGGTTCACTTGTAGTACTCACTTGAAGCTGTGTTATTAAGTACAATTCTATTTAACAAGTAGAATAAAAGTACATAATGTCATAAATCAATACACAAGTAAAATCAGAACTAAAATGTACCTTATAAATTAATTCTATATATAAGAAAACAAACAAAGTATACGTCCTAAATCACTGCACAACTAAAATCTATAATAATTAGAATGAATTGTATTATCTATTGGGCACCTTCACTGTCATTGATATTTTCAGCCATAACCTCTATAATTTTAGCTGGGTTAGTAAATTCTGGTTAGAGTTAGTCCTAAATTATTTACTAAGACAACATTACAAAATGGTCTTCAAGGGCACAAAAGTAGATTAAAAAATTAATCAAATTAACTAAAAACATTATAATCAACGAGATTTAATGGAATGAATTACAATTACATTTCAATGTCTTAAATAGCTAAATATGTACTACTAACATATTATTCTTAATCAGCTAACTCAATATCACATAACACAGTGCTCTCAAGATGCTCTAACTCATCAATCTTCACAATATTCAATCCCTGGTCCAACCAGTGCATGAGAGGTTGAACAGTGAACTATGGCTTTAGCTTGTCAATTTGGCAAGGATTAATGAATTTTTGTAAGCATATACTTAAATGTCTGTATTACTCATTTTTCAAATCATCAGACTGTGTGTAATATGGTGAAGCAAACATCTTCATAGCACTTTACACATCTCAGCATAGAACTAGTTAGCTGTTGAAATTAGCTATTTGGTCCAAGTGATCATATGATCAAAACTGACTATCCAACACATCAGCAATGCACTGCATTAACAAATCAACCAGTGAAATAATAAGTAATGACCAGTACAAAAAGGTTATCTTGTTCAGTCTCTGAGAAACGACCTGATATCTACGGGGTTATTATTTGCATACTCCCCTTCTTGATGCAACACTGGCCAATTAGTGAAAACTATTGTCTCCATAACATAAATACACTAGATGAATGCCCATCATATGACACTAAATGCTTATTTATATTGGTTCAGAAAACTTGTTCTAATTAATCATTTTATTACCATATTTTCTAAAAATTAACCCTATTGCCATGGACATCTTTTCCAGCACGTCATGAGGTTTTAGAAACTTGCATTCAAAATCATACATTATCAAATGTTTGACCCTGCAATTTATTAAAAGTGATGGCAAAGACAAGTCTTACTAGAAATTGTCACCTTTTAAGTACAAGTGGTAATTTAGAATCACTTGATGTCAAGTCAATTCTTGGAATGAACACTTTTTTTCACCATAATTTGTTCCAATCAATACTTGAGTATCAATAAAATTTTGATACAAGTCTTTAACAACTAACCTTGTAACCTTTTAAAGATTCATATTCCTTAAAAGCATTATCATACTACCTCTTTTAATATAAGTTCATTTGGAGGCATACCTGATGGAGTTAGAGAATTTAAATATTCTCTCTGGAAATTATTTGTTTTCTTCATTATCATTAATAACCAAAACAGTGCTGCAATATGTTTTTAAAAGTGTCTGGGAGTCGTTTTACTATTCCATTGTTAGTAGAAGAGTATCTTTGTTTTTAGTTGCCATTATTATTATTTTTCTAAAGTTCTTCTGGATTCTCAGTGTTGATTTCACTACCATAAACTGCTTGAATTATAGAATTACTCTCTATTATGTGAGGCAGTATTTCTATTGCATCTTGTGGTAGCTAAGAATTATTTGATAAATTAGTTCCATCACCTTCTTTAAGTTGCCAAAGATTGAATTGATGATTTTCTCCTATTCTAATGTTTCAATTAGTTAATGTTGTATAAATTGTTACTAAAGCAGGATAATTTTGATGCATGCTTCTATCATGTGTGTTTTTGTTCCTTTTGGTACCACTGGCAAAGTTTGATTAAAATATTCTTGTCAAAATTGGCTTTCTTCCAAATTCTTTATTACTTTGCATAATTACTTTAAGAAGATCTATACTATGAAGAGTGTGACATGACATAACTGTTGTTTCATCGATAATTATAAGCTTAAGAGTCATGAATTTATTTGCATCAGAAGATGTGGATTTCATGTTAGAAGAAGAAGTATGTAGCAAAAGCACTGTAGTGAGTCCAGTAGTTGTATATGAAACTAAAATGTTATGACATCCCCTGAGGAAGCACATCAAAGTTCAAGTTTTTCCAGTGCCTCTTCATCTGTCTAAATAAAAACAATTACGCTCACTGCCTTCATTATCTATACCAGCGGTTCTGAAATTTTTAGGCTCGCGTACCACTTTTTTGTTTAATTTTTTAAAATTACAAATCCAAGCCTAATTTTAAAAAAAGATAAAAAACCTAGTAACAAAATTTCACATTTTTAACACTTTATCCATTAATGCAAAGTATGCGATTGGCTCGAGTTAAGAATATGTGGAACCATTTTTATCAATTTGAAGGGAAGAAAATATTGGCAAGTCTATGCAGGTAGAGGATGAGTCTATATGTGAGGAGAACAGTATGTATATGTATGTGGAAAGCTCAGGTAGGGCTTATTACAAATTTTATAATTTTTATATTAATTGTGTTAGCTCCACGTACCGCAGTTTGAGAATCTATGATCTATACCATATACAATTTTAACTAAGGCTGTTCTTTGAACAGAACTGAGGCTTGCAAATCTCTCTTCTGCTTCCGTAGCTTCTTCAACAATATTAAATTCTGGTTCTTGATTATCTGGATGTGGTCTAGGATCTGGCAAGTTGAATGATAAGTAATTAAAACCATACATGGTTAAAATGCTCTTAATATCAAGTAATGATTTTTTAGTTTAGGTATTCATTCATTGTTATTTTGTCTAAAATCTTCCATCATTTCTTCACAATGGGTTTCCCATAAAACTAAAGCAGATTTTTGGCTGGCATAAAGTACAAATAAAAGCAAAAGTTTGCTTCATTTACTAAGTTTCTTTTAGATGCTACTTCTTGAAATGTAGAGTACAGTTCACCACTGACTGTACAGGTACCTTCAAAACTGGTTGCTCCTCAAATATGGAGTAGAATCAATCAAGATAATATCTCTCTATATCTTTTGTACTGATAGAACACATTCTTGAAATAATTTTTTGTTGCTCTTGCTGCCATATTTTCCAAGCATATGTTAAAAAAACATAATGACATAGTATTTCTACACGGAAGTATTGTCGAACATCTTCACTTGTTTCATTCAAAGCAAATCATGCTGTTAAAAGTTATTTTCCTTACACAAGCTAAATCTATTGCTGCTACTTCTTGTCTCTGTTCGAAATAGACATTTTGTTGTAAAAGAAAATGAACAGCCAAGTGTATAATTGCATGCAAACAGTCATTTATTTTGTTTCCTAGAAATCATTGCATCTTTCACATATACTCATGTATCTATTTAATCCTATCACGACGATAACATTTGTAAAACAATTTCTGCACAAATCAAAGTTCTATATTATCTAAAACTTCAGTTTCGATACCTCATTATGTGGTCGCAGTTACGAATCTCAACTTTAAGAGCTGGTATAGAAGAAACTGTGTGTGTAGTGTAAACAATTCCATGCAAACGTTCAAAGTACAGTATATAGATTTTTTTTAACACTAATTAGATTACATTCCAAGAACTTGTCCTGGACAAAAATGTTGTACAAATTCCTCAATTCAAGATAAGCCACGTCCTTTTGCAAAGTAGAAGGTGTGTTGGTAAGTGAAAGTTTTAACTTTAATGACATGCTTATTATCCAATAAAAAGAGCCAATTTCTTGCTGAGGAAGTCAAAACAATAGGTATCCCTAGCACTTGGCTATTTCTTCTTGCCTTATACATATCAATTTTATAGACAGTTAAATTGCGTTTTGGTTTTACTTTCTATTTTAATTAAATATGTATTATTAGTGTTTTAAAATTCATATTTGAAATATTTAATGATTTGATAAATTTACTTAATGCTTTGTCGTGCTAAGCAATTGTTCACAAAGTTACAAGCGTAAACAACACTTTGCTGGATACTAAACCGTATCTGCCGATGTTAATGTTCCATTGCCCAAGAGCACCTGTTGATGTGTGTTGACATAAATAATCAGAGATGAAGAATAGGAAAGGAAAATAAAACATTAAAAATAAACTATAAGTGAGAAGTCAAAGATGTAAAATTACACATATGAGCCAAAGAAGATATTTTAAAATTATTCAAGGAAGAGTTAAAAGGTATGTACATATTTCAATTTCTTAATTTTAAGCATTTCACTGAATTGTATGGTGATGATACTAGCTAGAGTTAGTGATATGGTAGAGAAAATGAAAAATAAAATATAAACATTTACCTTAAAAACTTTTGATATTTCTTAGGAGGTTCTAGAGATTGTGCAGATGAAATGTAAAAACTGTAACATAATAAATAGTATTTTTATACTCAAAATGAAAATCACCTTGCAAGTGAACTATTCGGAGTCTTAGCACAAATAACTATATTAAATAA